AGAGAAAGGGAAGGATGGAAGGAAAGGAAGGAAGGATGGAGAAAAATAAAGGGAAGGACATAAGGAAGGAAAAAGAAAAGGAAAGAAGGAAGGAAGATGAAAGATGGAGAAGGGAAAGGAAGGGAATTTTGTTTCACCATTGACATAAGTCAAAGGCACACGGGTTAGTTGGAAGATGCTTAATCGAACGTCACGATTTAAAAATTCCACTTATGTTTTTACAATTGCCGCAGACACCCACAGCTCTCTCGTGCCATCCTTGAAGGTTAATATTTACCCCCCACACCCTCCTCTCTCCTTTCCCAAAATCCCTATTGTTCCACTTGCTATTCTCCCTTCTTAATCTCCTTTTATCCCTCAGCGGCTTCCGTCCAAAGAAGCTGAAAAGCCTCAGGGTTAAGCTTGCAAAAAAATAAAAATAAACTTCAATCAACACTACCCTGAAGTCACCTCAGCTTTGTCTGTAGAAAACCTCCCTCCCAGCCCTTCCAGATGTGACTACATAAACCATGAGGAGCAGCAGCAGCAGCTTAGGAAGCAAAGCTTATCTGCCTGAAAACTGTCTAAGCATCTCCCCGGATAATAAATGAACTAAAAAAACCTCAGTTTAAAATGGCAAAGCTGGGCAGTGATGAATATTCCAGGAGAAATCCATTTTTTTAGCTCTGTTCTGCCTAAAATCATGAGGACTAGAGTCTTCCTTGAAGACTGAAACACCAGGCTACACATTGGAGCAGTTTCTTTAATCCCAGTGGCTAAGGAAAAGCTCACTTAAAAACCTTGAAGGATTTGTTGCAAAATTAAGGTCTTGGGCTGAGACACCCACTCTCACCCCTTCGACAAACCATGATTAAACCAGCTTGGCAACGCTGTACCAAAGCCTTACGTGTATATATAGAGCAGTGGTGGCTAACCTTTTTGGGCTCCTGTGCCCAAAATTGCTTGTAAGCATGCGCTCACGTGCCAGAACCCAGAAGGCAATGCGTGCCCCACCTCACCCCCTGTGCATGCACGTGCAATTCCCCCCCTCACCACCCCCTTACCTGCACTGTGCCTCCCAGCTGATTTTCGGGCCTTTTTTGGCCTGCCAGAGGCTTGAGGGAAGCCTCTGCAGGCTTTGCAGGCCGAAAAACGGGCCAGTTTCATCACTTTCGGTGTTTCCGGAAATACAGGAAGTGACGAAACGGGCCTATTTTTCCTCCTGCAAATCCTGCAGAGGCTTCCCTCAAGCCTCTGGCAGGCCAAAAAAAGGCCCGAAAATCAGCTGGGAGGCGCGCACATGCGCAGTGAGGTAAGTTTGCCTGGGGCTTGCGTGCCCGTACAAATGATTCTGTGTGGCACCTGTGACATGCATGCCATAGGTTCGCCATCATGGATATAGAGGAACGCCTGAAAATGGCCGCCTCGCAAACCTAACGGAGCAATTCCATGGTTGTGTGTTTTATCATTTTTGTCTAGATGGGCACAAAATCATGCCGAAAAAAATAAATAAAAAAGAGGGGGGAGGAATAGGGAGGGTTAGATGGGGAGAAAAAGAGTTGGGTGTTTGTTTTCTTCAGCCAAAAAAACCAGGAGGGAAATTTCCCCGTTCATCCCAGCAGCCTCGGCAGTCTGGAATTTGCACCCCCAGGACGGGAGAAAAGGCGAGGATTGTTTGGCTACACAAAAGGGCCCTTTGATTGCAAAGGTCACAACTTCGGAATCGCTCAGCAATGTTCTGCCGTGTTTGGGCCACAAGTGTTGGGTGTGTGTGTGTGTGTGGAAGGAACACAACCCACTTCCCAAACAGAGCGGCGGGAAGGCAGAAGTGGGGAGAAAATCCCGCAAAACCCCCCAAACCCCCACAAGGACTCTCTCTCTCTCTCCCCCCCTCCTTCCCTCTCTTTCTTTCTTTCTTTCTTTCTTTCTTTCTTTCTTTCTTTCTTTCTTTCTTTCTTTCTTTCTTTCTTTCTCTTTCTTTCTCTCTCTCTCTCCCCTTCCCTTTCTTTCTCTCTCTCTCTCTCTCTCTCTCTCTCTTCCTCCTTCCCTCATTTCATTTATTTATTTTATATTTATTCCTCTGGGTTTCATCCCACCTTCACTTGTTTTACAGTATAAATAAATAAAGGAGGTGTGCAGACTACGAGACGTCTTCCTCTTCCGATTTTGCCTATCACAACAACCCTTCAAGGTGGATGGGGCTGAGAGGGAAGGAATGGCTAGCTTCCGTGACTTAGGTGGGGCTAGAACTCACCGTCACCTGGAGATTGGCCCAAAGGCTTCCCACTAGCTTGTATGCCTAAGGCATTCCAGATGTCACAGCTATCAATGGATCAACTTCAAGCATTGACATTTGTTTAACCTGGTTGTTTGTGAAGTGGTTGGGATCTGGGCTTAGGAAAGGGACTGGGGATCCACCCATTTGTTAATTGACCGATTAATTTCACCCCTCTCTGATTTGTTGGTTTGTCTGCAGTGCTCTCTCCCACCTTAGCTATCAAAGTTTACACAGCGAATGAGATCCACGGCACGGTGGGATCTAAAATTAAGCTCTCTTGCACCTTCTGGTCCAACGAGTGGATCTCTGATGACATTTCCATCACGTGGCACTTTCAACCTGAACGTGGAAAGGACAGCATTTCGGTAAAAAGATCTATGTCTCTATGTATCTGTCTGTCTGTCTCTATCTGTCTATCTTCTCCGTCATCTGTGTGTGTGTGTGTGTGTGTGTGTGTGTGTGTGTGCGTGCGTGCGTGTGTGCGTGTGTGCGCATATATATATATCAGCATCCGTGGGTATGGATCTGGCTAGCGTTCTGTCAGTGTGTGTGAGAGAGTTGAGGGCTGTTTGGAAACTGAAACAGGATTTGCTGTGAGCAAGGAGACAGCAAGGAGCCTGGGCGTGGCTTAGCTCAACTATTCTGGACTAAAGCTGCTTGGTGCTCTGAAACTAAAACTCCTCTGCTTGTGTTTTGCATTTGGAAGAGATTTCTTTCCAGGTGGGGAGAAGGAGTAGAACTCCCTAGCATCAGAGCATGTTAATAATAATAATAATAATAGTATAGGGAATACTCTAAATACTCTGATGGTCATTTGGAAAAATCCTTTCTTAGTGAGCCCCTAGAAGCCAAGAGGAACATATGTGCCAAATTTCAAGTTTATAGGTTTTACGATTCTGGAGATTTTGTGATGATGCATGAGGGGTATTTTACATATATGTATGTATGTATGTATTATGTAATATTATGGTTGTTAAACTTCAGGTGACCACCAGAGGGCAGCAGGAACTGAGAAATAGTCTCTGCTGCCCTCTTGTGTTTCCATGTATATTGCACTCCTGATCTGATTCTTATTCGACCACAGATATTTCACTATGCCAAAGGCCAGCACTACATCGACAATGTCGGGTCCTTCAAGGAGCGGATCGAATGGATCGGGGATCCTCGCTGGAAAGACGGCTCCATTATCATCCATGACCTGGAATACACCGACAACGGGACCTACACTTGTGACGTTAAAAACCCACCGGACATTGTGGGAAGGACATCACAAGTCACCCTCTATGTCTTTGAGAATGGTAACGCTCGTTGACCGGTGGGACATTGTTTGGTGGTGTGACTGTGATCTTCTCATTTGGACAAAATATGATGCCACAATTTTTGCGGTGGAAGGAAGGAAAAGAAGGAAGGAAGGAAGGAAGGAAGGAAGGAAGGAAGGAAGGAAGGAAGGAAGGAAGGAAGGGAGAGGGGGAGGGAAGAAGGAAGGAAAAGAAGGAAGGAAGGAAGAAGGGAGGGAGGGAGGGAAGAAGGATGAGCTACTCCTGGTCAGTCTCTTTTCCCAATTTCTTCACTCTACCTATTAAGTCTGTGCAATCTCTTCTCCTTGGGTTTGCAACCCATTGAACTAAATGGGCCAGGATTTCTATGGGGAGAGTTCAACCTTTTGGGGTCATGTGGGAATGGCTGGCTGGAATGAAATGATTGAGTTGACACCGGACTGCTAAACCCAGTTGGAGATGTTGTATATTTTAATAACATTCTCTCTCCACCTTCTCCTTCCTCCTCCTCCTCCTCGCCCTCTCTTCTCCTTTCCCATCTCCTCCTCCTCTCCATCTTCTCTTCCTCCTCCTTTTCTTTCTCCTTCTCCCTCCTCCTCCTTCTCCTCCTCCTCTTCTCCACCTTCTTCTCTACCTGTTCCTCTCCTTGTCCATCTTCTCCACCCCTCCCTCCCTCCCTCCCTCCCTCCCTCTCTCTCTCTCTCTCTCCTTCTTCTCCAGTTCCTACCAGATACGGCCAAGTCCTTGGTGGCATCATCGGAGGTGTGTTGGCTGTGGTCTTAGTAGTCCTGCTCATAGCTTACCTCATCAGGTACTGCTGGCTGAGGAGACAAGCCACCCTACAAAGGCGGCTCAGGTAACCCCAAAAATCAACCCCTCTTGCCTCCTCTACCACCATTCCTCTCCAAATATTAAATATCAAAGGTGCAGGAAATCCTGCTTTCGGCATCCTTTTGCTAGCTTTCCAGCCCCTCTCCCAGAGCCCTGGCATCCACTCCCATGCCAGGCTGGTGAACGATGGGAGTTGTAGTCCTGCATCTCCAGACAGCCCCTAATTTAGGAGCCGCTGCCTACTCTTTCCCGGAATTCCTCTGCTTTGCAACGCGATGAACTGGGGAGCCTGCACGAATCCCACGATAATATCTTGTCACTCCCGCTGCTTTTAAACACAAAGGACACACCCCACACACGATGAGAGTGGGCGCAAAGAAAGGAAAAGCGACCCTTTTCCCACGTTGGCTGTGTTTTCTTTTAAGTCTGTTCGTTGCGAGGCATTCGAGTGCAGGATTTTAGGATAATTGGGGTTTTGTTGTGGTCTGTGGGCCGCAGGCCCCTCCAGCAGCTGAATCAGAGGAGGAAATGTGGAAGTTAGGATCACACCCAGGCAACCTGGGAGCGCCGAGGGGGAAGCGGGAATGGAGTTGTCAGAAAGAAGACAGTGGTGGAGCCTGGGCCTTCCGTCAGGCCTCAGATGGAGAGTCAACAGCCCCCAGGTCTGGAGGTGGCTGATGAGGAAGAGGAGGAACAGCTGCGTCCATTGCCTGACGCGCAGAAAGCAGAGAGGAGAGGAGAGCAGTGGAAATCTATGGGCCGGTC